ATGTTCCACATTTATGTGGAAGGGCCTTGTCTCCCTAAGGGACAGCCACCGATTCTGACAAAAAGGGGCACTCATATTTTCAACCTAGAAATCCCTGGACTGGGACTGAGACTCGAAACCTTTCTATCCATGATTCGAGCACTCAAGCCACCTCTCCACGTAACCCGCTTCTGGATGACTTGCCCACAAGTAGAGTCTAACGCAATTAGGCTTCCAACTCCCTATGCAAAAAATCCCCCCCAGTGAAAGAGAGGTAACTCGAAGGGACATTGAATCAAATCGAGTCCCATTGACTTTAACGATCGGCAGCTCAATGCAAGTGGGGGAAATGGACGTGCATTTGACAGCCAAGTGGAATTCATCAGTCAGCATTGAGGGCAGGGGCGTGGTATTGATCAGAATTGCTCACAATCAACTTCAATGATCTGAAATCGATGGCAAATGCATTCACACCCAAACTGACCGTGACTGCCTTCAGAGTCAATTCATTAGCGAGACATCTGCGTCCTCTATTCGTCCAGGTGAGAGCTCACGGAGGTTAATTATCCCTTCTGCGGGGCAGAACCGAGTGTTTGAGATTTCAGTGAAATAGTCTGCGCGTGCGTTTGTGTGCATGCACGTAGCAAGTCAGGGTTAAAACCTATCTGCTCAAACAGCTGTCCGGGTGTCGCTTAACTATTTTTTACATGCCCCGAAACAACTGGAAATTCCATTATCCAGATAAAAATCACTTTTAACCTTCCGCAAAGTTGCACATTATGTTATCAACCCCAGAGGCATGACACGAATACCTAACAACATACCTAAACCCTATGACAATGTAAGAAGTGTCAACATAAATAATCATCACTGGCATGAGACAAATAAAACTGGGCAAAAAAATCACTTTTAAAACACCAACCTGACCACCAGGCTGGCCAGCCCATTACGTCGAGTCCACTCAGTGGAACGCAAGAACGCGGTGACATTTGCGTTCAGTTTCTCCGAGGCTCCGGCTTTTAACAGCCAAACCCTGTGAATCCGAGAGGCGTTTCACTCATTAACATTCTGCCTCCGTGGGCCTTGGTCATTAAACGTTGGAGAGTCCTAAAGAGGAGCCTTCTGACCCATGGCGCGCATCGTGACAACGTCGCAATGGACTCTCGGTGGCACCGTCGCCGTGTCTGTCGCCACAAATTGATTTTCGGGTCAAAAGGCCACGGGGGCTGGGAAGCTGACAAGCGGAGCCGAGCTGCGGTGGCAAATGCACGTTTGTGTTGGGTTTCTTAGGGGTAATGTTGCTTGAGAGAGAGACGGCCCCTGTCAGCGTATTGTATAGAGACCTCATCAGATAGCTGTCTGTAGATAATTATTGTCAAAAGAGTCCATCATAGATCAGTCTGTCTATTATTATTATTGTATACACACCCCTTCGGAGACCAGTTCATCATTCTCTTGCCTAAAGACCTCATCTTAAAACGGTCTGTTATCATGGTCCTCTAGAGAGACCCATCAGAAACAGATCTCTCAGTCTTTTGTCCAAATACCTATCGTCAAATGTCGAGGAACCTCATCAGAATCCAGTTTGTAATGCAATTGTAGAGGGGCCCCATCAGAGACTGGTCAGTCAGTCTATTGTCTAGGGGGCCCCATCAGAGACTGGTCAGTCAGTCTATTGTCTAGGGGCCCCATCAGAGACAGGTCAGTCAGTCTATTGTCTAGGGGCCCCATCAGAGACTGGTCAGTCAGTCTATTGTCTAGGGGCCCCATCAGAGACTGGTCAGTCAGTCTATTGTCTAGGGGCCCCATCAGAGACTGGTCAGTCAGTCCATTGTCTAGGGGCCCCATCAGAGACAGGTCAGTCAGTCTATTGTCTAGGGGCCCCATCAGACTGGTCAATCAGTATGTTGTCTAGCGGGCCCCATTAGAGATAGGTCAGTCTATTGTCTAGCGGGCCCCATTAGAGATAGGTCAGTCTATTGTCTAGGGGCCCCATTAGAGATAGGTCAGTCTATTGTCAAGGGGGCCCCATCGGACACCGGTCTGTCTGTCTACAGCCCAGAGACCCCTTTTTAGAGGTGTCCAGGTGGCAGAGGATTCACCACTAAGAGGCGAGGTTTCAGCCACCTGAAATTATCTTATCAAGTTCATGGTCTCAGGCTAATTACTAATGACTGCAGAAAAAAACATTTAAATTCGGTTTGCCACTTAATTGGATAAATTTCAGATATTAGGAATAACAAATTGTGGTTTCAATTGCAAAGTGACAAACACCGACTGCAGGAACTGTAACAAGGTGTGCTACACCACGTAGGTTTCCACGGTGGTGCCGTAGAGTTCTCCGATGTGTTTTCAGGCTGTGTGGCACGTTGTTTCGGCATGGGATGACGCAAGTTATTTAACTACGTTGCTTGAATTCAGTTCCTGAAGAAGTTCGCAGGACATGGGAATAAAACGTCGGATACCGTGCCGAAAATAAATAAAAACACACGGGGTAAAATCTAAAACACATCGGAGATATTTAAAGTTTTGCTTTGTGAATAAATAGGTAAAATTGATCAGACTCGGAAATAGCTATTTCAAGTTACATTCCAGTGGTATTCTCGGATGCTATGTGAAGTTCCACCATTCAATCTGAAGTTATCAATGAAAGGTTCCGTGTCTAGTGACAGCAGGAGGCCAATTGAAACATACATGGCAAAACCAGCAATTATATTTTTAAGTTTGCCAAGCAAACCAGGTGCTTGGGAGCAAAACATTCAGCAGGCATCAACTGGTCAGTGTGAACATCACGGATCATTGAATATCGAATCTTATGCTCATGATATACAATGAGGGAAAAAAGTATTTGATCCCCTGCTGATTATGTACGTTTGCCCACTGACAAATAAATGATCAGTCTATAATTTTAATGCTAGGTTTATTTGAACAGTAAGAGACAGAATAACAACAAAATCCAGAAAAACGCATGTCAAAAATGTTATGAATTGATTTGCATTTCAATGAGGGCAATAAGTATTTGACCCCTTTGCAAAACATGACTTAGTACTTGGTGGCAAAACCCTTGTTGGCAATCACAGAGGTCAGACGTTTCTTATAGTTGGCCACCAGGTTTGCACACATCTCAGGAGGGATTTTGTCCAACTCCTCTTTGCAGATCTTCTCCAAGTCATTAAGGTTTCGAGGCTGACGTTTGGCAACTCGAACCTTCAGCTCCCTCCACAGATTTTCTATGGGATTAAGGTCTGGAGACTGGCTAGGCCACTCCAGGACCTTAATGTGCTTCTTCTTGAGCCACTCCTTTGTTGCCTTGGCCGTGTGTTTTGGGTCATTGTCATGCTGGAATACCCATCCACGACCCATTTTCAATGCCCTGGATGAGGAAAGGAGGTTCTCACCCAAGATTTGACGGTACATGGCCCTGTCCATCGTCCCTTTGATGCGGTGAAGTTGTCCTGTCCCCTTAGCAGAAAAACACCCCCAAAGCATAATGTTTCCACCTCCATGTTTGACGGTGGGGATGGTGTTCTTGGGGTCATAGGCAGCATTCCTCCTCCGCCAAACACAGCGAGTTGAGTTGATGCCAAAGAGCTCCATTTTGGTCTCATCTGACCACAACACTTTCACCCAGTTGTCCTCTTAACCATTCAGATGTTCATTGGCAAACTTCAGATGGGCAGGTATATGTGCTTTCTTGAGCAGGGGGACCTTGCAGGCGCTGCAGGATTTCAGTCCTTCACGGCGTAGTGTGTTACCAATTGTTTTCTTGGTGACTATGGTCCCAGCTGCCTTGAGATCATTGACAAGATCCTCCCGTGTAGTTCTGGGTTGATTCCTCACCATTCTCATGATCATTGCAACTACACGAGGTGAGATTTTGCATGGTGCCCCAGGCCGAGGGAGATTGACAGTTCTTGTGTTTCTTCCATTTGCGAATAATCGCACCAACTGTTGTCACCTTCTCACCAAGCTGCTTCGCAATGGTCTTGTAGCCCATTCCAGCCTTGTGTAGGTCTACAATCGTGTCCCTGACATCCTTGGAGAGCTCTTTGGTCTTGGCCATGGTGGAGAGTTTGGAATCTGATTGATTGATTGCTTCTGTGGACAGGTGTCTTTTATACAGGTAACAAGCTGAGATTAGGAGCACTCCCTTTAAGAGTGTGCTCCTAATCTCAGCACGTTACCTGTATAAAAGACACTTGGGAGCCAGAAATCTTTCTGATTGAGAGGGGGTCAAATACTTATTTCCCTCATTAAAATGCAAATCAATTTATAACATTTTTAACATGCGTTTTTCTGGATATGTTTTGTTGTTAGTCTGTCTCTCACTGTTCAAATAAACCTACCATTAAAATTATAGACTGATTATTTATTTGTCAGTGGGCAAACGTACAAAATCAGCAGGGGACCAAATACTTTTTTCCCTCACTGTAAGCCTCACAACCGTTAGATTCCACGTTCACGACGCTGTAACGAAAGAGACTGCCACTTTGAAAAAAGCGCTGTATCCAATCGCCCTAAGCACTATTACCCCCAATTCTAGGTTCCCTCGAATTTTATTTCATTAACCAGGTGAGAACTTATGGGACCAGGATGAGTGTAATTTGCAATATTGACCTCGGTCACCAAAATGACGAAAGCAACAACAAAAATGAAGTAAAGCAATGAGGCAAATAGAAATCAGCACAAATACAAGTGTCACGTGAAATCGAAAATATTGCACAAACACGAATCAACATTAAAATAATACATTCCCTGTAGCCTAAATCACCTGGAAAATTAAATTTAGACTAATCATAGTGCAATTAAAATGAAGTTGCAGATCCATTTAACAGATATCGGGTGACGACATAACCACGCTTGCAATTGCAAGCGTGGTTATGTCGTCGATGATGACGCACATCAACAACCATTACCCCGTCCGCCCGCCTGCACCACAAAACCAATCTCCAATTGGAGATGACGGTGTTCTTCAATTCAACACTAGTGCCATTGTGAGATCTCCCATTCGCGTCACTCACCTTCCGAGCTGAACTCTCTGCCCTGCCGTCCATCGCCCTTCAAGTTGATCATGATCTCCTCGGGCTTCTCCAGTGCGTCGCGCTTCCCTCCGCCCTTGTCGCCCAGCAGCATCCAGCTCCGCACCGACGAGCTACCGTCGTCGTCGTCGTCGTCGCCGCTGTCTTTGTCGTCGCTGCTGTCGTCGAGGGTCTGCGCGTGCGACGTGTCGGAGCCTTCTGTCTCGAGCGTGATGGTCTCGCGCACCCTGCCGTGAGTGCCGCCCCGTGTCGCCTTCCAGCCGCCCGCCACCACTACGTGCGGAGTCGCGCGCTTGGCGCGCCTCACCGCCGTCGCCTCCTTCGCTCGGCCGCTCGCCCGGATGCTACTCACGGGCATCACCGGAGCCGGCGAGTCGTCAGACGAGATGACGATGACTTCGGGTTTCAGCGGGCGAGGAGTCGAGCTGACGATGGCAGCGGCAGCATTGCCAGAGGCACCTGCAGTTTTGTCTGCGGCGGTGTCTGCGGCTGTGACATCCGTGCCTGATGGGAGCTGCTGGCTGTAGTGCACCTGGCTGTAAAGCTGGAACTCCACCTCGCTGTCAACGCACGAGTCGGACTCCGAGTCCACCTCGCCGTACAGCTCATCCTCGTACGCCTCCACGTCCGACAGTCCCTCGAACATCATGGCTCCACGTGGTGGTGCTGGTGTCGAATGGTGCTGGTAGATGTGTGTTTTTTTTTGTTGGTGTTGCTTAGTGAGGACTTGAGGGAAGACGAGTAACAAAAAATGTCTCGATTCAGACAGCTTCACAGCATCACTGGGGAAAAATTAGAAATGCACAAGCACTGAATGGTTAGAACAGAGGCGGAAGGGTTCAGTGAGCCAGCAATAAGTGGCATCAATGATTATATTTATATTACAATACTTAATTTACCAGGAAAAATCTCACTAAGCCTCTTGATTTTCAAGAGTGTTAATTTCCTCGTCTTAATAGGTACATGTGTACAGAGCCATAGGGGGGTACGGGGCCCGGGGCAAATCACACCACGTGGGCTCGCCGACGCCAGAAAACATCTGACACCGTGACGTCGAAGCGCGGAGCCCCACAAAAGCATGGGGCCAATCGGGGCAACTGCCCCGATTGGCCGTACCCTAGGGACGTCTCTGCGATGTGCACGTACATCTGTGAAGTCAATGTTAACATTTCCCCCGCCACTGACGTTTGCCAGAAATCACACAAATACAAACACACACGGTGCATTTACAGACTTAGTAGTACAGTTATGAACGTATAATTCCTGACCAAATATTAAAGTCAAACTCAAAGAGTCTGCTTCCTCAAATGTAAATTACATGGTGCTGCTCATCTCCATTGGTGGCCCAAAGCAGTGGGACAAATTCCAGCTTCCTATGGCAAGCGATCTCTCAATTGGACAAGCACCACCAGTGAGTGACTACCCACAAGACTCTCATTTTGTCAAAACAGGACGGGTGATAAATGACCAGCGCTGACCCCCCCCAATTTGAACCTACAACCTTTACAGATTGTGTCAAGCTCTCTAACCACAGCGCCAACAAACCGGCCATTAACCCCAACAAATAAACAGGGAGCACAACTCAAACTTTTTTAGATTTCGAGTATTTAATTTTAAATTAATGCATACCTATCAACCCCTTATCAATGCCTATCTTATTACAGACAATTTCAGACCTTATTGGTCACCTTATAAATCTCAACGTTCTAGATTTAAAGCTTTCGTGACTGCAAGGATCCCTACTCTTTGGTTCTATTCGGTAAAGTTACCTACGTGACTTTACCGAATAGAACCAAAGAGTATCTCAACGTTCATCCTACAAAGTCCCATCTCAAGGGTGAACCACAAACAAGAGACAATGTTGATGTATTTGTTTTGCCCGTATTGAAACGGCTGTACTACGCCGTATAGACCCGAAAACTCCATTTCCCTGTACAAGAATACGGGGTAAAAAACGCATGGGTTTGACAGCTGTGTTAATGCACAGCAACCGTTCGTATGCATTTATTGTGGAGTGCGGGATATTATTTCTACAGTCAGGCCAATGTTACGCCCCATTTCTTAAATCCAGCTAAGGTGCAACAACAATCCGCAGTGAGAAACTTCCCTCTGATTGTAACAATAACAATATGCATCTATTTATAAGGCGCCTTGAGTAACTATCTTTGAGCGAATGCCTCCTCCCCTTCCACGCCATCAGAGCAAGAAGAAATTCTCAGCAGTGGATGTGGGGAGGTCACTCACAGCTGTGCGTGCAGCGAGACTGCGCGCGTGTGTTTTGAGCATAGACTGACGTCGCATTCAGAGTTCTATGCATTTATATTTTACCTAACCGGGGACATTTCGGTAACAAACGCATAGAATTTCGATTTGAAGCTTTCGTGACTGCAGGGATTCATAGAAGGGAAATAATGAAATAAATTCCCTTCTACGTGACTTTACCGAACGAATATGAATCCCTGCAGTCACGAAAGCTTTAAATCGAAATTCTATGCTACTGTTACCGAAACGTCCCCGGTTAGGTAATTCGTGGTTCTTGAATAAGCACTCGGTTGCAGTTGAGTAATTATATCACGGTCTTGGCCGTTGTTTTAAAATACTCTTCACTTCTTTCCAAAGGCATTGTGCTCTGATATTGGGAAACATCACTTTTAGAAAAAAAATGTGCAACCTTAATAGGTTCTCACCAGGGTTAAATAAAGTATACACTATATATTTATTTTATTACACGCTTTTTTATTAACTGTCTGTTGTTGTATCCTCAAATCTTGTAACTCAATTTTTAACCACTTCCCAATGTGGTATCGACTGCAAACTTAGTATACTTATGTCACACTAATGACAATACTATATTCTATAATTAAAAATAAATATTTTAAAACATTTTGTTTTATGTTCTGTTTCGGCTTGGGTTTAATTGTCCACGCTCAACTCACGTTGGCTGTAAATCACCAGGGCCCCTTACGTTATGGCAAGGTTCAGGGCCACTTCGTGGAGTTCTTCCATTACTAGTACGGTACATTTCATTAAAGCGTGTTTTAAAAAAAAAGTTTTAGTTAAATACATGTATTACTTATAATGGCCCAAGTCTCCACACAGTATTGCCGTTTCCGTATCCCCGTGTCTCCCGATAGCCGTGTCCACGTGTCTCAGTGTACCGGTGTCTTCTCCATGATCAAACCAGTCTCTGTCCCTGTGTCTCGGTCCCCACTGTGTCCCCAGTGTCCTTGCGTTTCGTGTCTCTCTCCACGTGTCTGTGCCGGTGTCTGTCTCGAGTGTATCCACGTATCTCTATCTCCACATCTCTGTCCCCCTGTGTCTCCCCATGTGTCTCCACTTGGATTTGTCCCCACCGTGTTTCTGCCCCCGGTGTCTCTTCTGTCACCCCCTCTGTACCCTCCCCCCTGGTCCGTCTCGACGTCTCTGTCCCGTTTCCCCGTATCTCAAAGTATGTCGCCCCGTGTCTATCTTTGCGTTTCTCCCATCGTCTCCCGGTGTCTCCACGTGTCTATTGCCCCCCGTGTCTCCTTTTGTCCCTCGGTATCCCTCTCTCAACGTGTCTCTGCCCCCCATGTCTCCACGTGTCTCTGCCCTCCGTATCTCTTGTCCCCCGGTGCCCTGTCTCCACGTGTCTATGCCCCCCGTGTTTCTGCCCCCCCCCCCGTGTCTCCACGTGTCTCTGCCCCCTCCCGTGTCTCCACGTGTCTCTGCCCCCCCCCCCGTGTCTCCACGTGTCTCTGCGCCCCCCCCCGTGTCTCCACGTGTTCTCTGCCCCCCCGTGTCTCCACGTGTCTCTGCCCCCCCCGTGTCTCCACGTGTCTCTGCCCCCCCCCGTGTCTCCACGTGTCTCTGCCCCCCCCCCGTGTCTCCACGTGTCTCTGCCCCCCCTTGTCTCCACGTGTCTCTGCCCCCCCCGTGTCTCCACGTGTCTCTGCCCCCCCCGTGTCTCCACGTGTCTCTGCCCCCTCCCCGTGTCTCCACGTGTCTCTGCCCCCCCCCCCCCGTCTCCACGTGTCTCTGCCCCCCCCCGTGTCTCCACGTGTCTCTGCCCCCCCCCCCGTGTCTCCACGTGTCTCTGCCCCCTCCCCGTGTCTCCACGTGTCTCTGCCCCCCCCCGTGTCTCCACGTGTCTCTGCCCCCTCCCCGTGTCTCCACGTGTCTCTGCCCCCCCCCGTGTCTCCACGTGTCTCTGCCCCCCCCGTGTCTCCACGTGTCTCTGCCCCCCCCCCCGTGTCTCCACGTGTCTCTGCCCCCCCCGTCTCCACGTGTCTCTGCCCCCCCCCCCCCGTGTCTCCACGTGTCTCTGCCCCCCCCCCCCCCCGTGTCTCCACGTGTCTCTGCCCCTCCCGTGTCTCCACGTGTCTCTGCCCCCCCCCCCCCGTGTCTCCACGTGTCCTCTGCCCCCCCCCCCCGTGTCTCCACGTGTCTCTGCCCCCCCCGTGTCTCCACGTGTCTCTGCCCCCCCCCCGTGTCTCCACGTGTCTCTGCCCCCCCCCCCGTGTCTCCACGTGTCTCTGCCCCCCCCCCCCCCTCCGTGTCTCCACGTGTTCTCTGGCACTCGCTCCACCGGGCGACCCACACAGGCGCCCAGTCTCAGCACAGCGCTCTCCTTTCCCCGCAAGCACACACACACACACAAACCCCCAGAGCAGCAACAAGAACAACAACAACAACGCGAGCAGCCGCACTCACTCGGGGAGTAACCAAGCGAGAAGCGACGCACGACGGCAGGCAACAACAAACTGAGGCGGACAGCTCGCGACTCCGCGTTCACGACCGACGAAAGGCGAACGGCCGCCCGACTCGCACGCCCAGACGAGAAACGCGCGGGGCCCACCTCGACTAAGGCCTCGCCGGCACTGCGCATGCGCGTGGTGGGAGAGAGGGAGGGGGGTCAGGGGTGAGCGCGTGGCGGTGTGATCACGTGGTCGTCCTCCACCCTCACCCACCCCTTTCACCCCCACCCCCCGTCCTCCTCGCTCGCTCGTAACCGACTCAGCCCGTGAGGTGGGGGGGGGGTGTTGAGGGGGGAGGGGTTGGGGGGGAGGGGAGGGGTTGGGGGGAAGGGGTTGTTAGGGGAGGGGGTTGTTGGGGGGGGGGTAGGCTCCCAGACACGTGGAGTGCACGCGCGCCACGTGTCTCGGGATTTAATCGACTCATGCGCGCTTTTTTTTGCATTGCATTATGGGTAAACCGCATGCAAATACAACGGTGGACGACCTCGCCTGCTATGGAGGAGAACGTGGGTTCGATCCCATACGGTTAACCCCGTATTCTTGAAGAGGGAAATTTAGTTTTCAGGTCCATACGGCGTACAGCCGTTTCAATGCGGGCAATAATTGTGTCTATTTGTTTGTGTTCCCCCCTTATGATGGGACGTTGTAAGAGATTTATAAGGGCACGGGGTGCCCAATAAGATCTGAATTGGTCTGGAATAAGGGAGGCAATAATAAGGGGATTTTTCTCCGGGTCCTTTAGAAACGCGTTTGGCTGATCTAAATGCCCACATTTGCCACTGCATTGAGCTATCATTTGTGGCCAGGTCGTTTCTGAAAAAGAGCTAAAATCCTCACTTGGTAAACAAAAATGTGTACATATATAGTGTATAGATATAAATACAGTCGATACAATATGCTTGTACTATTTGTTTTATTTATGGCCACAGTGCTCTTGACGACCGTGTAGAGTTTTGTGTTTGTTAAATTGTGATCGTGCACCACTGCCAACGCAAGCGGCATCAACGAATTGTTTGTTTAACGTCTGTAAATCGGTAAGAGTTGACACGTCGCTTGTGCTGAGCGAGACTATCGCAAGAGCTTGGGAAAAGAGACGGTGATGGGAGATAATTCCAGAGTGGAGCAGAGCGAGGGACGAATCAGAGAGAGAGAAGTGATTCATAATAGATGCTGGGGCAAGGCCACGTACTGATCGTACCAACTGTGTTTTTTGGTACCCTCCACCACCCGACACGGCCAAGCAAATGAATGGCCACGTGGTGTTGTACAAGCATGTAACACACCAATTACTAGTGTCCTAGCTCCACCGTAAGTAAGAGTACAATGCTCATCACCACATTTACTATATGTTTGCTAAATTTGATTGTGAGAATTGTTCTTCAAATTTGTCGGCGAGATGAAACAAAACAATAATCTTTAGATTTGAAGCTTTCGTGACTACAAGGATTCATCTTCTTTGGTTCTTTCGGTAAAGTCACGTAGAATGAGAATATTATTGTGTTGTGAGAATATTATTGTGTTGTAAATTTTATTGGGTTATTTTATTATTTTATTCTCATTCTACGTGACTTTACCGAAAGAACCAAAGAAAACAATAATCGGCGTGTCCAGCTCACGCCGGCTGGCAGAGGGTGTTAACGACACAGTTGTGGCCAGATCATTACGCGGCCTAAACAACAACAAAAACCATTACAGTGAGGGAAAAAAGTATTTGATCCCCTGCTGATTTTGTACGTTTGCCCACTGACAAAGAAATGATCAGTCTATAATTTTAATGGTAGGTTTATTTGAACAGTGAGAGACAGAATAACAACAACAAAAATCCAGAAAAACGCATGTCAAAAATGTTATAAATTGATTGGCATTTTAATGACGGAAATAAGTATTTGACCCCTCTACAAAACATGACTTAGTACTTGGTGGCAAAACCCTTGTTGGCAATCACAGAGGTGAGATGTTTCTTGTAGTTGGCCACCAGGTTTGCACACATCTCAGGAGGGATATTGTCCCACTCCTCTTTGCAGATCTTCTCCAAGTCATTAAGGTTTCAAGGCTGACGTTTGGCAACTCGAACCTTCAGCTCCCTCCACAGATTTTCTATGGGATTAAGGTCTGGAGACTGGCTAGGCCACTCCAGGTCCTTAATGTGCTTCTTCTTGAGCCACTCCTTTGTTGCCTGGGTCCTGTGTTTTGGGTCATTGTCATGCTGGAATACCCATCCACGACCCATTTTCAATGCCCTGGCTGAGGGAAGGAGGTTTTCACCCAATATTTGACGGTACATGGCCCTGTCCATCGTCCCTTTGATGCGGTGAAGTTGTCCTGTCCCCTTAGCAGACAAACACCCCCAAAGCTTAATGTTTCCACCTCCATGTTTGACGATGGGGATGGTGTTCTTGGGGTCATAGGCAGCATTCCTCCTCCAAACACAGCGAGTTGAGTTGATGCGAAAGAGCTCCATTTTGGTCTCATATGACCACAACACTTTCACCCAGTTGTCCTCTGAATCATTCAGATGTTCATTGGCGAACTTCAGACGGGCATGTATATGTGCTTTCTTGAGCAGGGGGACCTTGCGGGCGCTGCAGGATTTCAGTCCTTCACGGCGTAGTGTGTTGCCAATTGTTTTCTTAGTGACTATGGTCTCAGCTGCCTTGAGATTATTGACAAGATCCTCCCGTGTAGTTCTGGGCTGATTCCTCACCGTTCTCATCATCATTGCAACTCCACGAGGTGAGATCTTGCATGGAGCCCCAGGTCGAGGGAGATTGACAGTTCTTTTGTGTTTCTTCCATTTGCGAATAATCGCACCAACTGTTGTCACCTTCTCACCAAGCTGCTTGGCAATGGTCTTGTAGCCCATTCCAGCCTTGTGTAGGTCTACAACCTTGTCCCTGACATCCTTGGAGAGCTCTTTGGTCTTGGCCATGGTGGAGAGTTTGGAATCTGATTGATTGCTTCTGTGGACAGGTGTCTTTTATACAGGTAACAAGCTGAGATTAGGAGCACTCCCTTTAAGAGTGTGCTACTAACCTCAGCTCGTTATCTGTATAAAAGACACCTGGGAGCCAGAAATCTTTCTGATTGAGAGGGGGTCAAATACTTATTTCCCTCATTAAAATGCAGATCAATTTATAACATTTTTGACATGCACTTTTCCGGATTTTTTTGTTGTTATTCTGGCTCTCACTGTTCAAATAAACCTACCATTAAAATTATAGACTGATCATTTCTTTGTCAGTGGGCAAACGTACACAATCAGCAGGGGATCAATTATTTTTTCCCTCATAACACTGGCTGTAAAACCCTAGTCGGTGTGAAGAGAGCGAGAGAAAGAGAGCGAGAGAGCGGTGGCGTGACCTGCAATGTTTGTGGTTGAACAAAGTGTGCAGGATGAGACGCCTGGCAAAGACCGGGGGTCCTCAGTTCAGTTCATTTCATTTATTAGGTATAGCCCTGTGAGCCATTCGGCTCTTGAATCGGGTGCAACCGCAACAAACAAAAACATGAACAAGAAACATCTTAAAGTGACTACGCGCAACAGAAAAATCCAGGAAAACACAGCAAAGTCTTCCAGAAAAAACACCGAATATCAATGCTTTGTGCAAAAATCCCAGTGGGATGCAAGTCAAACAATAACAACCATAAGACAATTTAGATTAAAGTGATCAGTCTAACTCCGTACTACAACAAACAAATATGGCTAAACCAAAACGTTTTCGAAATCGCCAAAATAAAGCTATTAAAACAATGTAACAGTGATCATAGGAACTGTGATTGAAATTTAACAATAAACGATATGTACATAACATGTACGACCGGTGCTCAGCACGGGTGGACGAGAAATCAACGAGGGAAGTTCACGGATCGCTCGACATAGAGCAATGCCGTTCACGAGCCTGCGATGCAATACGCCACGTAGCACGCACACACATATGAAGCCATTGGAGCTATGCACTTGTGAATCTAGATTGAAAACGGATTCCTTTAGAACTTATTGTTGTTGCGTTGAGTTTCCTGTCCTTCGCCACACCTCCGATTAGCACGGTTGGCTGCGTACGGTGCGAAAGAAGTTCAACGTATATATATGAACTTCCCCAAGTGCTATATTCTTGGTTCTTTCAGTAAATTCACGTAGAAGGGAAACAATAAAATAATAAAAGTATAAAACAATAAAATTCTCGGTTAAGTCACGTAGAAGGGAAACAAGAAAATAATAAAAATATAAAACAATAAAATTCTCACAGTGAGAATTTTGTAAAAATATAAAAAAATAAGATTCTCACAGTGAGAATTCTTACAGCGAGAATTGTATTGTTTTATATTTTTATTATTTTATTGTTTCCCTTCTACGTGAATTTACCGAAAGAACCAAGAATATGAATCCCTGCAGTCACGAAAGCTTTCAATCAAAAATCCCCAAGTGCTGTTTAGTGAGCACCTGCGAAGGCTGGCACGGCACACGTGGGGATTGGGTGGCCAACACCGCGCCCGGCCGCCTTAGTCTCCCCGGCGCTGATGTTTACTGCACATGTCATCAAGTACTCGTTTCAGGGTATGTCGACCGAGGAGACGCCTAGGACCGATTCAAATATTCGCCACACACACACATACAGTATACAGTGTACAGTATACAGAATTAGAATATGTATGTATCTTGGATAAATCCGATTAGCTATGAAGCTCTTTTTCACAGATGTTAATATTATATGCACATTATTGTTATTATTATTATCACATGCTTATAGATATAGGCATTTTGCTGGACCTGCAGGGCAGCGCTTAGCGCACTGCGCTACAAACCCAACATCCAAGCCGAGTTCGATTCACGGCTAACATCAGTGGCGAGTGATCTACGTGCACGCGCTGCCCACGCCGCCTCCCCCTCCCCAGCCACCCGCAATAACCGGCCTGGTGAAGTTTGGTCAAATTGCCCGCCTTGACTGGCAAAGTGTAGAGGAGGGGGCTTCATCCAGCAGCGGATTGACAAAGGCTGTACATGTTCTGTGAGGTGGGCACGACTATCTACGTCTGCAGTGTCTGTGTTCGGGGTGGAGCGCTCAGCCGTTACATCGGCAGCGGCGACCGCCACCAC